GAGAGAGAGAGAGAGAGAGGCGGAGGAGGAAGAGGGAGAGAAGGCGAGGCCTTCCTCCCTGGTACCTGTTCCGGTCGCTATGGCGCTGCAGGCGGCTGGCACTGGGCCGCGGACTGGGCCGGTGGTTGGCGCTGTCCCTGCTGCGCTGGTTCCTCCTTGCCGCTGTCTTGATCTCGCCTCGCTGCTCGCGCTAACGCTGCTGCGCTGCGCTAATCTCACTAACGCTGCAATGCTGCGCAAATCCTGAAGCCTAACTCCTGTCTACCAACCTTCCTACTGAGGCTGGTACCCAGCCTTTTGTAGTGCTGGGCCGGCCTCCTTCCTGTTGGTACCTACCGGCCTGGACCGTTGATCTGATCAACGGTCCAGCTTCAAAACTGGACTTGGCGCCTAAATGCGGCAGCCTCTGCACTGCACCGCCGGTAGGTCCTGTGCTGGACCGGTACCGGCCTTGTGGCCGTTGGCCTGGGCCTCTACCCCTGGCCTGCCTGAACCACCGTTCCTGGCCTACCTGGGCCTCCTCTGAACTGTCGTCCCCTAGGCCTACCCTGCCTATCTGGAACCGGGCCCTAACTGGGGCCCGTGTGGCTCAGAATGCCACACACTCCCCCCCTTGAAGACCGAGCTAACTGCGAGGGCGAAGCTGTCTGTCCGATATCCGTACGGGGCGGGCAGGTTGGGCAGCTTCCTTAGCAAATCACTGTTTTCCGTAGTGCGCAAAGATGAGGGGTGTTGTTGCCTTCAGGTCAGCTCGTGAAATCCAGCGTGTGTCGTCGAGATCGCATTGCTTGAATGTAACTTTGTACTGCATTGGCTTGTTGTCGTGCTTGCGATGAGCGAGGACGCGTTCGGCCTCCTGATGACCATCCATTGAAGGAGGGTCCTGTGACCGTCTGCCCGGGAAGTCCGCTGCGGAGGCTGGAGTGTAGACCGCCAGCTTTGAAACGTGAAATATCAGGTGGACCGTCAAATGCGGGGGAATCTCAATGATGAAAGATGGACCCGCGGGGTCGTAGCCAGCTGCTGAAGTGACCTTCCATGGTCCATACCACTTAGGGAGGAGCTTGCGCGAGACGTGCTGCTCGAGCGCGAATTCCTCGGAGGTGACCCAAACTAGGTCGCCAGCGCGTATTGGACATGGGATGCAACGCCGGTTTGCTTGCTGCTGCATGCGGACTTGAGCCTTTTGCATGTTTGCGCGGGCTTTGGCCAGCAGTTCCCTATACTTCTGTGTAGAAGCGGGGGAGCAAGCGGCGTCGACATCGGCAACCCGTGGAAGCAAGAGGTCTGCGAAGATACGTCCTTTTCGTCCACCGTGATGCAACTCGAATAGAGTCACGCCAATCGCCGGGTGCACCGAAGTGTTGTAGGCGAACTCGGTGTCGGGAAGGCGGTCAACCCAGTCCTTCTGATCCAGGCGGATGAGTGTGTGGAGCATCATCTGCGCAGTCTGGTGCGCACGTTCCGTTTGCCCATCCGTTTGAGGATGCCGTGCGAAACTCGGTTTCATGCTGGTGCCGGATTCCACCATGAGTGTCGTCCAAAAGGCTGACATGAAACGAGTGTCGCGGTCGCTGACGATGTCTTCTGGAACGCCGTGGCTGCAAAACCAGCCGGTATGCAAAAGTCGTGCGATCTCGGGAGCCGTCGCATGATACTTGCATGGAAGAAATCGAGCGTACTTGCTCAAACGGTCAACGACCGTGAGAATCCCGTCGTGGCCAAGGCGATCGCGTGGGAAAGGGCCGGTCACATCCATATCAATGGAGAGACCCGGTTCCCGAGGAATCGGCAATGGTTTCAGTTCGCCGTACGAGAGCTGATGGCGCCCTTTGTTCCGGTGGCAAACTGCACATGACCGAATGTACCGATTGACGTCGCTGATGATGTCCGGCCAGTGAAATCGTTGGCGGAGTCGTGCGAGTGTGCGTGCGACGCCAAGGTGTCCCGCCAGCCGCGAATCGTGGTATTCGCCAAGGAGGCGAGTGCGCAAGATGCGGTTTGGGGAACACACAACAAGTCCTTGCCTCGTGTATGGAGCAGCAAGTAGCCGTCGACAATGCGATAATTGCTTGCCGGCGGGTGATCCGATGATAAGTCCGCATAGAGTGTGGAGAATCCCGGATCCGACTTGTAGCCTTTTACGAAATGCTGTTGCAGGTCCTCGTCGAGGCCGAATGTGGAGTGCACCAAGGCGCAAAGATCAGGTCTTCGCGAGAGAGCATCCGCTGCGTTGTTCGAGGAGCCCGGTATATGCTTGGAGGTGAAGTCGAACTGGTCAATGAAATACATCCACCGACCGATCGTGCTGCTCATCGTGTCTTGAGTCTTATAATACGTCAACGGATTGGTGTTCGTTGCCCACGTGAAACGCCGACGCCCGAGGAGAAAGTGATGCCAATGCTTAAGTATGGTGACAAAAGCTAGCAGTTCCTTCTTCCTCGCATCATCAAGAGTGTTGATGGGCGGCACCTTTTGGCTGAAGTACTCAACCGGATGCCAGTCTGTGCCGTCATGCTGTTCCAAATTCGCGCCAATGTCGTAGCCGGAAGCGTCCGTAGTCACTTTGGTAGGCAAGGTTGGGTCGTAGATGCTTAAGACGGGAGCTTGGAGCAAAGCAATCTTCAGCGTATGGAACGCGTGCTGGGCTTCGTCGTTGAACTCCAAGGGCACCAAGGGGGACTGAGGTTGCGACAATGGTGCAGCGATCTGTTGAAAACCTTTGACGAAGCGCATGTAGTATGATGCTAAGCCAAGAAAGGAGCGGACGTCGGTAGTACACTTGAGGTCCGACCAATCTTGAATGGCTTGTACTTTGTCCGTGAGCGGACAAATGCCTTGCCGCGTAACGAAATGGCCTAAGTACTCCAGCTCTTGCTGGGCAAACTCGCACTTGTCGCGGTTCGCCTTGTACTTGGTGATACGGAGCCGCTCCAGAATGGCGCGAAGGTGCTTGAGGTGCTCGTCCAGTGTCCGACTATAAACCAAGATATCATCAAGGTAAATGAGTACAGTGCGGTCGAGCAAGTCGCGAAATTCTTCTTCATAACCGCTTGGAAAGTAGTCGGGGCATTGGTGAGACCGAAAGGCATGACGATCCACTCAAAGTGCCCATACCGCGTCTTGAATGCGGTTTTGTACCGATCTCTTGGCTGGATCTCGATCTGGTGATATCCGGACTTGAGGTCAAGCTTCGAGAAGTACTTGGCGCCGCCTAGTCGCTCGAGAAGATCATCGATCCGAGGGAGAGGGTCGGCATTCTTGATTGTTTGCACGTTAAGTTTCCGATAGTCGATGCACAGACGAAGGTCCTTGTTCTTATTCCGGACAAAGAGAACGGGAGAACCATATGGCGAACAACTAGGGCGAATCCAGCCCTTGGCCAAGAGGTCGTCTAGTTGTGCCCGAAGCACTTGAAGCTCCTCTTCGCTCATGCGGTAGATACATCCACGCGGAGGTACGGCGCCATCCTCGAGAGTGATCCCATGGCGTATGGGCCGATCCGGTATGACTCCGGCGGGAGCTTGGAAGACATCCTCATAGCTGTCCAAAAGCTCAATGATGCGTGGGTCCGACGTATCCGTCTTGGGCTGATCACCGGGTGGGAGGGCGTGAAGAAAACATATGTCCATCTCCTCGATGTCCTTTCGCTGGATGGATTGGCGAGTGCTCGCCGCGGAGACCATGTGACAACCAATCGAAGGATGAGGAAGCGGCACCGTACACGGGACTAGTTCGCCACGCCGATCACGAACATGAACGGTGAGTCGATAAAAGTTCATCGGATGGTCTTCGCTTTGCAGCCACGACATGCCTAAGATCATGTCGAACTTAGTGTCCAATATGTCGAATGAAACGACCTCACATGCTAGCGGGGCAAAGTACACGGGCACGGAGTCAACGCAACGGTCGATTGACTTTTGCGTGTGACCATCGGCCAACGTGATGTGCATAGGCTGACTTTTCCTTCGAACGCGCGGGCCTAGCCCGGCGCGTGCCATGAAGTCTTGGCTGATGTAGTTGCGCGTCGCTCCACAATCGATCAAGGCACTGCAGGTCGCCTTTCCGATCTGAATGCGGATGTAGAGGAGCGGCGCGTTGATGTCGACGTACCGTTGCGTTGCATACTCGCGGTCGATCTTCGCTAGATAGTTGCGAAGATCAACATCCGCTACTCCGTCGTCCGTCGATGGAGGTGGTACTACAGCGTGCAAGTACCCGCGCAAATATGCCATTAAGGCATTGCAATGCGGTGTTGGCAAAAAAATGGTGGAGGGAAGAGGCAACCATTGGAAGTCCTCAACCGTCAACGGGTCGTGTTCCTCAAGACTCGCCCAAGTTGACGGATCCTCCGATAGAAGGGTTGGCGAAGCAACCGGTTCGTTGGCCGACGGCGGAACTACTGCGCATGCGCTTGAGTCTTGCACGTGGAGAGGCTGGTTCAACGGTGGGACCAGCTTGACAACATAGTTCTCGAAATCAATACGAGAACTTGCGACTACCGCGTCATCCTCGGATGTAAGAGAGACTGCTAGCAAGGCAGGCGACTCCGGCGGATTGGGAAGTGATATCGCTGCACTTCCCGCGGTGCTCAGTTTCCCGAGCTTGGACGCTTGACATTTTCCTTGTCCTTGTCGAGGCATGCGCTAGTGATGTGTTTGGTGCTGTTGCACCAAAAACAGCATCCCCATTTCTGCCTCAGCTTGAACATGTCTTCGGTGATACCGAATTTCGTCCATGGTGCCTGTTGTGCTCCATCCGCTGACGCTGGTTTCGCCTTCTGTTTCCCCCTCGGGGTCTTGAGCGTTGCGGTGGTATTGCTGCCGCCACATCTCCGTCACTTGATGTAGACGCGGCTGCGTGGTCCTCACTAGGTCCTTGTTGGACTGTTGCTACTTGCGGCGTCCGCTGACCTTTGCCTTTCTCCACGTAACCAGGTTGTTGGCGGGCCTCGTTGGTCGCGCGCCGGTTACCTTGTATGAGCTCCCTTGCCTTTGAGATCATGTCATCAAAGGTCTCATACTGGAATTCGCTGCCAAGAGCAGCTGTCAAGGCGTCGCATGACCGAGCGAAGAATTCGGCCCGGATTGCGTCGAACAGTAAGTTCAACTCCGGGGTGGCAACGAGTCTTTGCCACTCCGTCAACCACTCCCGTGAAGGTTGCTGACCTTGAAACATGTGGAAGATCTTGTTCAAGGCATGACGCTTGTCGTTGTTGACCATGAACCGGGTCTTCCATTTCTTCTCGAATTTCTCCCACGTAATCTTGGTGTGGAGGGTGGCGATGGTGCATTCCAATGTGACCGCCATGTGCGTCATGAAAGCCTGCACCCCTCCAATGAGTTGGAGGTAGAGTGCGTCAAGCCGCCGCAGTGGTGGGGTGTGATGTACGTCCGCCTCTGCGTTGAATGCCATCCACCATTGCAGCGGATCAGTCTTGTGGTAGTCGTCGAACTTCTCGATCTTGAAGTTCGGCATCTTTCATTCCTTGGCGGCGGCGGCAGGTCGTTGCTGAACGCGGTCGCTGAGCGTCTGCAGCTGATTGCTGACTGTCGATGCTCCAGCAAATTTGCTGATGTCGCCAAGGGAGGCGACCACGTGGTTGATCCGCTCCTCAAGTTGTTTGGCCTGCGCGGCCAAAGCTGGGCTGCAGTCTGCCACTGCGCTGCCCGTTGACGCAGCTGTTGACAGTTGTGCCAACCCCATGCTGACATCGGTCTGCAACTGGTCATTGAGTGTTTGCTGCTGGCTGTTGGCGGCGTGTAGTGTGCTGATCTCGGCCTGCAGGGTAGCGATCTTCTTGTCAAGTGCTTTAAACGTTGTTTTGTGGCGGATGAAGACCTGCCGCATGGCCAGCAGTTCACGTTGCTGCCAATTGCACATGTACAACAGATTCTCCATCAAAACTGTTGTGGCTTCCGTGTTTCTCTCTTCCTCAGTCGGCTCCTCTTGTTCTTCATTTGCTCAAAAATGTTGCTGTCGGAGTAAACTCCGGTACGTGGCTTCTTCGTTGGCGAGCTCCTTTGTAGCTTGGTAACGGACTTGCTTCTGACTTGCCTCGACCTACTGTTGTTGCAACCATGCGGCTGCTGCAGCATCCGCCGCGGCCCGCTGACGTGCTGCCTCTGCCTCTGCCAGCTGGCGTTGGATTGCCTGCTGGCAGGCGGCTTCCTCCTCTTCCCACTTGCTCAGTTCAGCTGCAGTGGTCTCCGAGTAGAGTTGGAGACGTTTGAGAAACGCTAGTAGCGTTGTCGGGACAGAAACCCCTGTGAGGGTTTCTGCCCGAGTTTTTCAAGGTCAGACATTGTCCGACTCCTTTCGTAGGATTTGAGGAACATGATGAGATTGACGTTGCCAAAGTTTATTCAGACCAACCCTATAACTGAGAAACCTAAAGCCGGACGTTGTTGACGTATGATGTTGTTGACATGTGACGTCATTGACGTTCGATCGAAACAGCGGGAGTCGGAGGTACGACTTGTCGTTCGCGGTTCCCGACAAGGTCGTAGTGGTGGGCGATTCAGGGCCTTAGTAGGCCAAATAGGTGGCCACGCCATGTGCGTGGCCACGACATGCGTGTCGTGCTGCCAGATGGTCGCCGTATTGGCGGCAGCGCGGTTGGCCAGCGACTGGGGCTTCTGGGGTACGCAGGTGTAGCCTGCGTGAGGCCATGTGCGATATTGCACTGGGCCAAGCTCTTCTTAAGGAAGAGCTGCTCCTATTCCAATGTGGAATAGGAGCTAGCCCAGTAGAATATCACACAAGACTCTTGCCCAACAGATACCGGGGTCGAGCCCCAATGACATCGCCACTGGGCTAGCTCCTTTTGGAGCAGCCCAGCCTTTTGGCACGGCCATTCTCGGTCGTGCGAGATGAGATTGCATGGCTGAAAACGGTCGCGCGCAGTTCAGCAAGGCCCCTGCGTTTTCAAGGATGATATGCCTAAATCGAAAAAAAAAAGGCTAACTGAAAATAAAGCACCAAGTGGCGCGGTGGGAAGTGATTGGGGGCTTAGTGTCCCCAAAATTGAAGCAGGCGTCCGTCACGAATACGCAACCGTTTTCAAGTAAGCTTTTTTTTGTGGTTTACTTCGTTTATTATTTATTTATTTAAAGTTGTTTTTTTAGATTTTTTTCATTATATTTACCCTGGGGCCGAAATCCCACTAGCAAAGAAGATAGGATCGAACTCCTGAATCTGGACACGGTTTATGCAAAGATGCAGAAGAGCAGTTCAATCTCGATTTCCTGCACATCTCCATAATCTCGTCCCGATTCAGGCATTCGATCTGACCCTCCTTGCTAGTGGGACCATGCCCCTGGGGTTTGGCTGCTCGTGGCTGAGAAGCCACGAGATATGAAGTGACCGTGGATGAAGTGCCAGATGGCGCAGGAGGAACTGGCTAGGGCATTCAGTCCCCAGCTTTGCAAAGCGGTGCCCGTTTTAAACGGGCAACCGTTTCAATGCCAAGGTAAGCTCTTTTTTTTTTTAATTTAGATTTGTTAAGACTTGCTTATATTTTCTTATTTAGATTCTTCTTAGATTCTTTAGATTTTCTTTTTTTCTTCTGTTCGTGAAATTACTGAATTGCCCGTTCGTTTTGACGAACGGGCTGGTGTCATAAGTGAGACTTGCGAATGGATGTATCTACAGCCGGAACATGGGAGGGTGCAGGGTCGCATCCCATGAGCAGTGGTTGTGCCACTGTCATAGTGGCTGCGCCCGTTGAAACTGGCTGCAGGGGAAAAAAAAGGGGGGGGGGAGCGTGGCTGTGCTAGACTGTTTCGTCGGACTTCCACCGACTCGTTAGGAGGCTGAACCTCGACAATCAGCCATAGGGTGAGCAAAATCGAATGAATCTGCCCTAAGGCAGAAAAAAATACGTCGCCATATATTTTGTGCCCCTGCCCTTTCTCTTTTGTGCAGATACTGTAGCTGCGCCCGTTCATTTTGAACGGGCAGCAGCTACTTGGAGTGGCGCCCGAACGTGGCACTCAAGTTAAGCCAGGTGCGGGCGCACTGTGAGGGGTTAGAAGGCCCTTATGAGCTCGACTCGTGAAATGACTGTGGGAAAGTGGGGGGGGGGGGCTGCTCGTTTTGTAAACGAGTTACCTCTACCCAGGGAAATGAAGGGAAAAAAAAAAAAAATCAACAATAGAGCGTCGCGAATCTAATCGCGACGCAGGGCCAGATGCAGAGGTAGAAGCATCTGGACTTTGAGATGACAGCAGACTGTTGAACTTCAACAGTCTGCTCTACTTGGCTCTATGCAGCCCTTTAAGGCTGCGTCTGGCCGGGGGTAGCAGCCAGATGCATTACCAAGGCCTGGAACATGGTTCCCCTAGAGGAACATCAAGTTTCTCAACCCTTGATCGCGGTTGGGATCAAGGGCCAGGCCTCACTCCGAGTTTTGGCTGGGGGCAACCAGCTATAAAACAGCCAGCAGCCAGCCAGCCAGCATTCATTTGTGGCTGGTGCTGCTAGCATTTTGCTTGGGTGAATGCTCGCTGCTGGAGGAGGATCTGCTGGTCGAGTGAGAGGGAGATGAGTGGAGGTCTGCAAGTGAGGGAGGAGAACTGCTGGAGGTGGCCATAGCTGTGAAGCACAGCCATAGCCGCCATCTCAGCGAGGGGAAGAGAGAGAGAAACACTGGAGGTCTGCAGGGAGCGTGAGAGTGAGGGAAGCCATAGCTGCCACTGCACTTGGTGGAGCGCAGGGGAGGTGTTGTTCACTCTGCACGGCAACGGCAACACTTTTGAGGTGGTGGTGCGAAAGCGCTGCCGAAATTTTGTGGCGACAGCGCCGAGTTTGACGGCGGTAGTGCGGAAGCGCTGCCGAAATTTTGCGGCGACGGCGCCGGGTTTGACGGCGGTGGTGCGGAAGTGCTGCCGAAATTTTGCGGCAATGACACTGAGTTTAGTGGTAGTGGTGCGGAAACACTGCCGGTTTTTCACGGCGGAGGCGGCAGTATTCTTGCACTGACTATAAAAAAAAGTGGTGATTGGGCATTGGCACAGGGAAGGTACCGCAAAGTGGTGGTGCGCTTGAAAGTGGTGTGAGTGCGACACCGTAGTGGCGCAGTGAAATTGGGGGTGAGTGACAACGACGTGAAGGTGTTATTGGATTGTTGAGAGTGATAGTGTACTGGGGGAGTGTCGCAGCAGGTGATTACTTTTGAGGGTGTGGTGTGGACACCTTGTGGACGACTTGTTGCGACAGTCTTCTTATCAAGTGGCGAGATTCCAAACGGTCTTCTTGAGTGGGCCGTCTTTTTAACTTCACTCAAGGTCAGTTTTGACTCAGACCCCTTCACACCTGTGTGGACCCGCACTTTGCTTGACCCTGTTCTTTGGATGTTCACTGAAAAGGTAGAGGAAATGTGTGTTTGCACGTGTGAATGGAAGTCTGACATGAGTTTGGGATTGCATTGTTTTCTTTTGAAATTGTTATTTGATCTGATGTGCAGGTAGGTAGAAGGATGCCTGAAAAAAGGGAATCTGACTATGTCAATGGCAACGAGAGAATGATGTTTGTTTTCAGTTGCTCACCTGTATGTATGTTGAAGGGATGGGAAGTCAGTAGTCAATGTGAAATGAAGCGATCACACAAAGAAGAAGAAGAAATCAATTAGACATAGACTCTTCCGAAGGTTACCCGTTCTTTCCCGAATGACCCTCTTTGTCTATGCCCGTCTGTCTGAATGATTTTTTCTTTTGTGATCTCCTTTTTCGCCTAAGTTACCCTTGACGTCAGTTGGCGAGGGATCGTTTGCCGTTGTGGTAGACGTGTTTCCCTTTCCTAAGAGGCATCTGAGGCGGGGGTTCGTTGCCTTAGGGGTCGGCCCTGCTATCGACTCAGAGTGGACCGCTTATGGGGGGGGATACCATGCTGTTGTGGTGGAGCCAGCCCGACTTCTGAGATCCGAGGTTCGCTCAGGCGAGGACGAGGGGTGTCCCTGACCACCTCCTAGGGAAAGGACATGCGCCTACTCACGGAAGAGTCGTAAGTCCTTACCGCCTCACGTTAAGGGGAGCTGCCATAGCATACCCCTTAGTGGTCGTTTTAGGGGCTACTCGTGTATGGAGAACTGAGCCACAAGAAGCTCGGTTCATGGCTACTAGTTGAAACAGAGTGCGGCTAGGCACTCTTGTCGTGATTGGCCTTGCTACAAGGAGCAAGCACCAATGTGGTCGATGGTTGTAGGAAGATACACGATTTGCTTGAAAAGATTCGAACTTTAATCGCAATGAAAGATGTGTTTGCAAAAAGTGAAAGTTCCGTGAAGTTGCTGTTGAACTTGGTCGTGCTCAGGCCCGATCTGCCTTAATTGGCGCGGTGCCTGGCTGGCACTTACTTCCCATAGACTTGATAGGTCATTAGGTTAGGTTAGGACTAACCC